ATATATATATACATAGATTATATATATATTTCTTTGTTTAGGGCATTTATCAATTGAATTATGTTGTGTCTAGAATTTTATTTACCCTTCTTGGATTCACTGCACTTTATAAATCTGTGAGTTGGTGTCTTCTAACAATGTTGGCAAATTCTCAGCCAAATCTCCTTAAATACGACCTCTTCCCAATTTTCTCTCTTTTCTCTTTCTGGGACTCTAACTAAACATAACATAGTCTTCAAACTGTATTCTCATTAATGTTTTCGACATTTCGCATTTCTGTCACTTTGGGTCTATTTCAGTAATTTGTTCAGCTCTAGATTCTAGTTCTCTAATTCACTTTTCAATTGTGTCTAATTTGTTGTCAAATCCATCCATCAATTAAAAAATTTTGTATTAGTTTTATTTTGGTATTTTCTCATTTGTATTAGTTTTATTTGGTATTTTTTCCAAATCTGGCTTGGTACATTAAAAAAATAGTTTTCTGTTCTCTCCAGATATTTTGAGTTTGTGTTTTCTTTATGTTTTGGTCGGCCAAATTCGAATAATCTGAAGGACTTTTGTATGTCTGTTTGCTACTATGGGTTTCTGTTGGCTTCTCACTCATAGTGCTTTGTTTTCTGATGTGTAGTGAGTTGATTTTCATTTCAAGAGTTGCTCATTTGGCTTCGTAGTTTGTATGTTGTGAGAAATCTTGAGCTCCTAGGATGAAGTCTGGTTTACTCTGAAGGAATGATGCTTGCCCCTGCGAGGATGATCAGTGCACAACCACTCTACATTAAACTCTCCGCTTGGGGAGTTTCGGTCACTCACCTCGCACACAGTTAGGGACAACCTGTTGCTCCAAATACTCGGCAGTGTTTTTTCTCTCTTTCTTTCAGCTCTAGGGCTCGAGATGACTGATCACTCCTGATTTCTTTGTCGGTGGAGAAGTGAGTTGCTTCTACTTTGCCACTGCAATGAGGGTACCGCCATCTGGGGGTGCCAACTTTAAGAGATTACTGATTGGCTTGCCATTGTGGCTGTGCTCCCAGCTTGATCTTCTCTTTTTGTCTCTTGTAAAGCTGAAAATGAAGTTCACCAGGTTTCCCAAACGCCCTCGGGGCAAAGGCCAGCTGCACTCCCCACTGGGTTTCTCTCTGGGTTCCTCTGTGCCTTCAGCCCCGGCCTGAAAATTCCTTATGTCGCCTCAGTTCATTGATGCCTTTAAGAATACTTAGACTCACACTCACATGGACGCGGACACGCACGCGCACACACCCCCTAACTTCTCGCACTCACATGGATGCGGACACGCACACGCGCACACACACAACCCTAACTTCCTCGGACACGCACGCACACACACAACCCCCTAACTTCCTCAGTTTTTAGAGCATTGTTGTCCGATCCTCGTAAGTGACTTGCCACATGACTAGAACCTCAGGCTTCATATCACTACCTTCTTTCTTTCCCCTTCCTTTTCCCTTTATGCCATCAGTCTGTATTCCACGATCTTTAAAATCTACCTTAAGTCCTTGCTGGGATTACATAAAAATCAGACAACTCTCTTAGCCATCATCTACTTTTCTAGAGATAGGAGTGACTGACTCCTACCCGCAGGCACTTTGAGAAGGGGAAGGTATACTGAAGAAGTGTTTCATGTGGGCTACAGTAATTCACAACGGTAAGATGTTATCACAGCCAACGTTTGCTTAAAACCTTAGTGGTGAATATTTTTTTTTGAATGAGGCTAAATCATTTCAAAAGCACCCTAGGAAGACCACATGCTTTAGAAATGATTTAGCCTCATTCAAACATAATGCAAACGATAAAGAACATGCAATTATCAGTAACTTCAGCAGACAAGCTGTGGTTGGCTGAGTTTGAGCTTCCATAAAACACACTGAATCATCTTGTTTCAATCACTAATCAAGCTCTGCCATGGGAACTTGCTCTTTGCTATGGTTTGGACATCTGACCCTTCCAAACCTTATGTTGAAATTTGATCTCCAGTGTTGGAGATGGGGCCTCACAGGAGGTGTTTGTGTCATGGGGGTGGACTCCTTATGAAGAGATTAAAGCCCTCCCTCTGAAGGGAGTGAGTTCAGCTCCAGTAGTTCTTGCTCTAACCAACCCATGGGCTCTTGTAGAAAAGGGCCTGGAGCCTCCTCCACCCCTTCGCCTCCCCTCTCTCCATGTGATCTCTACACATGTCAGCTCCCTTCACCTTCTGCTGTTGGCGGAAGAAGACTGAGACCATCACCACATACACAGCTCAATCATGAACTTTTCAGCCATCAGAATCACAAGCCAAATACACTTTTTTTCTTTACAAATTACCCAGGGTCAAGTGTCTCTTTGTAGTAACACCAATGGGCAAAGACACCGCTTGTGTCCATCACCGTTAGCCACTGTTGCTCACGGCAGGGAGTCCACGGCTCCATTTGATGCTCACATGGAAGGATGTCCACAGCAGCTGTCAGTTGTTTGCAGATGATTTGCAAGTTGACGCTTCAGCCAAGTGTCCAGCTCCACTTCTCGGGCTCTGCTACTCCTCAGCCGTTTCACTGTTGCACACAGAGGGAATGGTGGGAGAAGCACGTAGAATCAGGTGCTGTTCTGTAGACATTCTACATGAGCTCAAGTTGTAGCTTCTTAAGTTTGTCCTCCATATCACTGAGACAGTTTTTACAGCACCAGTTTACTTCATCTTTCCTTGAAAGATTTTAATTTTGCAATTTCATGGTCAGTTTCTTGCAATCTTTCCATATCTCATTCAGCTCCCCTTTGATCTCAGGGGATTTGTCTTCTCATCTCAGCTTGTCTCCAATTATGATTTTGGTCCTGCCTCATTAAGCCCCTGTGCTATGCATCTCAAACACTGTTTTTCTAGAGAACAATTTTCCTAGGTTTGCTGTCTCTCTGGGATTTCCTGGTGATGTCTATTCCCAGTTCTGTCAGTCCTGCCCTCTTGTCCTCTAGGGTGCTGGTCAGGGCTGTGCTGCTGGGAGACCTTGACCTTCCTCAGGGCTCCAAGGCACCCAACCAGCTGTGGGAAGCTGCCGGGAGCACAGGAACTCTGAGGATCCCAGGGCTCTTGATGTTTTCCCCGATCACAGGACTTTTCTTGTATGGATCATGCCTTTGAGGATTCAGTGTGCCCTATATCCTTTTCCTGTCCAGCTGGTTTTTGCGAGGTGCCTCTCTGAAGCATTGTGAGACAGCAGGTACTGAATGGTAGAGTTCAGGGTGAAAAGGAGCTTGCCTTGCCTTGGAAAGCACAGGTAACAGCTTAGAGAAAGGGTTGAGGTCTCATTTTCAGGTCCAAACATGTCTCGTGTTTCTTAGCTGAGGGGATATAGAAGTGGAGGGACAGCATGCTCCTCTGTTTTCAAGTGCTCAGGTTTCCTATTCTGATGGCAGAGCATGGCTGGATGGTTTGCCAACTCATGTGTGTGCCTCATAGCAAATTCCTTTAGCCTTCTAGTGAGTAAACTTTCCCCCTGATTCTGGAAGTCAATGATCATTTGTTTCACAGTTAAATTTCACTGCATTCTATGGATCGTCCTAAAGGTTTGAGCAGAAAGCTCGGATAGGTAGGGTCAGAGGCTTCTAATAGAAATCATCTTAAAATGGCAGGTGTTCATTATTTAAAGTTCTTAGATTAGTACAAATGGGTGAAAATAATTCTTAGTTTAGACTTAAAGGCAAGTATGAAAATGAGCAGTCTACAATTTATACATTGTTTACTTCCTAGAAAATAAAGATGACTTGATATTTTCATACCTCGTCTGCCATGCACTACTTCTAAAGACGGACACGTGGCTCACATTCTGGGGTTACTGTTGACATCAAGAGACAAGGAAACAGCAAGCATCCTAGCCCTTGAGTTTGCACTGGTGATTTTTTAAAGAAGATATTGCACTCTCTAGAGAACCAAACCTGGGCAGATTTCAACATGACCCGTATGCCACATATCTTACCTGAATCTCAGGCTTCACTTTCACCACTGTCGCTTTTCATGGGCTGTCTTCTTTCTTGTTGCAGCCTGTTTGCAGTATTCAGAAAGAGAAACAACAGAGAACGTGTGATGTAATATTTGTTATACTGCCGAAGTGGACAAAATGTGTCAACGAGAGTACAGTTTAGAGATGAGCTTGTGACGGGGGCAATCGCTTCACCTCTCTGAGTTTCGGAGCCTTCGTTTTTGTGAAGATGGTGATAAGACCGCACTGCTGGAAGAATGTTGCTGTATCTGTACCCAAGCATGTGGGTGTAAAACACCTTAAGGCTCCCTGACAGCCAGAACTCGCCACATCAAGCAAGAGTTGTGAGAAGGTGCCAGGCATGGGATGACCTCTTGTGGGCCCATATTTCCCACTTTTCATGCTAGAAATCCAAACTAGCCTCCTTGGCTACCACAAGACCCTCTTATTGATCAGGAAAACACGCTTTATCTCTCTGTATCAGCACACATGCAGAAGAACAC